CCGATCTCGGGCGCCAGGGCGGCGAGGCGCTCGTCTCCGACGCGCTGGGCATGGGGCGCGGGAGGCCGGGGCGCGCGGGCCGGGGTGCGACCTGGCCTGGGGGACGCGGGACCGGGGCCTTTGCTGTGGCAGGGAGCTCAGCTTGAGGTAGATTCGCAGTGGGCCAGTTAGTGGCGTGTTGGTTAGGGCGGCTGGATCCCACATGCGACCGAGTGGTTCGAGTTCTGGACTCGGAGGGCGTGTGCGTCTTCATGCCCAAAATCCCGAAAGGAAGAAACGGAGAAGGGATGGCAACGTGACCACCCCCATGCGGGTACTTTCTCCCTTCCCCTCCGGTGTACACGCCCTCTGGCAAAACTAAAAAAAATTAGAAAATTGAGATAGACCCTCGTGTGCAGGGGCGGGGTGAGGAGTTGTACCTTCCTTCTCAGAGCCCTGGGAGCCGTGGAGAGTTTGTGGTAAGAGAGACACTATGTATGTTAGGTTTGAAAATTCCACGGAAGGCTCTTCAGTGGAAGGACGGACTGTGAAGGGCGAGGATGACTTTGAGGCAGAGAAAGGTTCACGTGCTTTTCCAAGGCCTTACAGCTGGTAGAAGGTAGTACTTAGGACTGAGGCACAGTTAACTGGAGCTTATTTGGCTCTGGGTGGGGGAGGGATACAGGGAAGGGTTGCGTGGCCGAGGGCCATGGTCACTTACTCTTGTGGCCTGCCTCTTCCCACAGGTTACTGTGGCTGCTGAAGGGCTTTTGGAATCTACACAGGTAAGTGGAGGATGTCCCAATCTCTCAGTGCTCCTGCGCCCAGTCCCACCCACATTTGTTCTGATTTTGTGGTGTTTGGGACTCCTCACCTGCCATTTTCCAAGCTCTTGTTTGGAAACCCTGGAGAATTCCTAAGCTTGGTGTCCTGCATCCAGGCTGGGAGTTACATGGAAGGGTTTCCATTTAGGACAACGAATGGAAAGAAGCATGGAAGCTTATCAAGGTACAGATACAGCATGTGGAACTACTTGGAGGTGAGGCTGAGCTGGTTCAGAGAACTGCAAGTCTCTTCTTTATGGTGGCAACAAATTCTAGGACTTTCAAGGCAGGAAATAGGCTTAAGGTGATGTCTATGAATTTAGGCCTCTATTGTGGAGGCAGTGGGAATTTTGTATCAGGAGGGAGTTTATCTTACGGATGTTAACAGGTTTTATCTGGTTATAGTTGGAAAACAGAATAAACATAGGACTAATGGTACGTGAGGGAGGGCAGGCACCAGTGGCATCTCCTTTTGAGTTGGAGAGCTTGGGAGGAGGATGAATGTGGGGGTAGATGTGTGAGGCCATTGATAGTAGATCAAGACTTCTGTGGTTTCATCAGTACTTGTCATGCCAGGGCAGTGTAACCTTTGAAGATGTGGCTGTATACTTCTCCTGGGAGGAATGGGATCTCCTTACTGAGACTCAGAGACGTCTGTACCTTGATGTGATGCTGGAGAACTTTGCACTTACATCCTCTCTTGGTAAGGCCCTTGTATCCACCTTTGTGCCCAGGGTTGGCTCTTTCATTATTTTCCCTAGAAGTGACGTTGTCTTTCTTACATCTAGACCATGGGCACAGCTTCTTTCC